CTCACTTAATTGCTTTTCTTCTCATAGAATCTTGTTCTCGAGGACTTTTAAAAAATATTATCTACAGTACGAAGAGTTAAGCACCATTTCAGTCAAAACTAGTTCTATTAAAAATATTTCCTACTCTACAGGATCTCTTCATCAATTGCCAAAGGATGTTGGGAGAAATTGCTACCCTACTAAATGGGACATGAAAGTGATGGACTTGAATGCTCCTTGAAGTGGAAGAGCTCAATGGCAGAGCAGCACAAAATGGTGGAGAGAGCATAGGTCATTCTGCAGCTGTGTATTCCCCTGTGACAGATGACAATATAAGTTGTAAAACAAGCATGCTGTAGAAAGATATTACAAAGAGAATGAGTTATCGTGGTCTTCAAAGCAAGAGCAGACCTTCTGCTAGTCAGTGGTGTGGAGCTGGGTAGGTTATCATGCTCTTTCCTATTCAGGATATTTCTCCTCTGGGAACAGGCAGGAACTGGAGGAATAGATCCAAACCCCAAAACAGAAAGCTCCTTCAACTACAGATTGCTGAAAACTGCTGTAGCAGTATTTGGAGTATGTGTCATTATATTGCCCCCTTGTCCCATTTTTTATACTTCTCCTGGGTGTATGCCCCTTTAAAAGAAAAGATGTTGAGCCAGATGAACCTTCAGTCAGACTCATCTCATTCTTCTAGTTGATCAGAGCCCAACAGAGAAAACTCTACAGAAACCGAGGGTCTAGGTAGGTATACAAACACAACTGGATGATTTAATCTTTCTCTAGGTCTTAATAGTTTAAGTATTTAGCACAGATGGAATAGAAGTTCCCACACAACACATAATTTCAGCATTGACTGTCAAAGAGGAGATCCAGCTCTGGAAAGAAGCACTGAGCTGAGTTCATCAGCAATGTGGATAAGCTTAAGTGATCATCACATTCTCATTATTGTTAACATAGGTTTTGTACTTGTATAACGAAGCCCTCAAGCTTCTGTGGAATTTACCATATAAGTAATTTTAAGTAGCATTGCAAATCCAAGACCAACCAGAAAAATTTCTGTGAGGTTGGAAATTACAACGATCAGACTACTGCAAGTTTATATTACAACAAATCTGTGCTCTTCTTATCTAGTTCTACAGTCTCATTAATATTTTTAATGATTCTGTCTTTCATTGACTTTAAAGACAGTTGTCAGCACTTAGTAAACTTTAGCCCTTTCTACAAAGGTCACCTTAACTAATATGGCAGAAGTAGGAACCTATTCACTTACAGTGAGTTTCATTAACACGAAATGGGAAATTGTAATAGTTTGGATAGAAAATGTATACAGATAAATACATTTATAAAAACATTCTATTAAATATTTCATTCATTCATTAATGACACCTAAAAAAAGATTCGTTCACACAGTAATAGAAATAGTATGCTGCAGCTATTGACCACTTATCAACCAATTATGGACTTAAATATAGTAAGTTTTATGTGTCAACACAACTTACAATGCAGGTCAAGATTTGATAGATAAAAATAAAGAAAATGATAGATCTGCACCATTATTCCTATTCTGCTACCAATACAAAATGATAAGAAATATTCTGAACAAAGGTAGAGGTTTACTAAACTTGTAACGCAATTTTTAAATGTCTAGGGCATGTTTATCATAAATTCAGAATATTCCAGACTGCAAAAGCAGACAAAGCAAATGTTGCTRTACACACACATGTGTATACATGTGCATGCAATTTTAAAATCTGGAGCAAAGAATGTTATTTTTAAAAAGGAACTCAGTTCCAAAACTGTGCAGTTTTGACACTTCATAGATTTACTTTTTTGACGAATTTTACAGTGGAATCTCCTGCAAAAAGCAACCAGTAGGTGGAGCAGACAACATAATTTACTACCTGGTAACAGTGGTATGGACTCTTGTGTCTTTTTCATAACTATGGGAGTCATATAGGAGAAATTTTCTTCAAACAAAGAAAGCTCAGATGTGTCAGATGTTACTTGGCTCATTATTGAAGCTACTGGCATACAAAATAATGTGATTAAAAGCTCAATATTTCATAAGCATAAAGTTTTAGAGCTCATATTTTATTTCTCAAGATATTATTTGGCAACTAAGTATCAATCAAATAAAAGTATACTTTGTTTTTTCAAGAAAAGTCATACACCTATAAAATGGTTATATTTGCTTTGTGTGAGCATTACTTGMAGAAGAAAAAAATACATGGCTGTTTTCTTTGTAGAGCCATAAAGCTTTTTTCTGTCGAATTTGGCACGATGCATACAAAACATAGTTTCTCAGAGAGACAGTCATTAAGTCTATGGCAACAAATTAATATTACTACTGTTAGAAAATACTGATCATGCAAATGCCCTAACTTGGTTAACTTTCTTTTATTTAGACTACTTTGGTAAAATAGTAACATTTCTTTTAACCAAATGAGCCACTTGGTTCTTATTTGCATTAACATCTTTGGGTAAATGTACAAGTAGTAATAGGAGACAGTTGTATCTTGGTAAATTCCTGTGGCAAAATAAACTGTTAATTAAAATCTAAAAGAAAATCTCAGTTAATTATACATAAATTTATAGGTGAAGAAAGTAAATTATAGTATAATACAATTTTTTTAATAAATCAATGATTTGCCTGTATGTCACTGTTTCATAGCAAARGAGCTCAGTGCATTAGTCAAAACCAGGGCAGTGAAATGCAGAGGACAATTGGTGTAGAGACTTCGTAACACATCCTAGATAACGTGTCTGGGTCTCTGCAGCCCTGATCTCAGGGGGTGGCTCCGCTCCATGTCACTGTTCCCGCTGTGCACAGCAGGAAGGGCAGGCACACACGGCCCCCAGCTGTAGGTCGGACCCACAGCTCAGGCACACACGGCCCCCAGCTGTAGGTCGGACYCACAGCTCAGGYACACACGGCCCCCAGCTGTAGGTCGGACCCACAGCTCGCTGGGCTTGGCTTGGCCCAYGGCTCTCCCACAAGGCCAGCTCACCAGCCTCCTGCTCTTGTTGCTGTGCCCTCTGCTGCCTTAACTCACTCAGAAGTGTTGACTTTGGCTGCCTAGCTCTACTGAGACATGGATGGACCCTGTTTAGTAAATCCAATTAACTGTCCTTTGAAGACAACAAGACACAGCTTAAGACACATCAGAAGACAGGGATATAGAGAGCAAAATGACAGACAGAGCTGCAGCAAAACAGTAAATTCTTGACTGAAGTAACATGCCTTGCACCTTAGAAAGATATCAAATTCTATGACYGTAGAACTATGGAATATGATGGCTGTGGAATATATGCAGTTTGATTACAATAGTTTATTCCATATCTATCTTGGTTATTTGTCAGGTTGTCTCTAGATGTTGCATTGATTTACACTCATTCATGTTTCAGAATAGCATCTGCAGAAAGAGAAGATTGCTTCTGGAGCACCGTTTTGCGATAAAGGAAAAATTCCACATCATCCATTCCAGTGAGYAAAGCCAAGAGTATTTTGTTCTGCAAAACACTGACAGCCAAATTCTAGTTGGGTAAAACTGGAAAGCCAGACTCAGCAGAACATAATAGTTATTGCCAGCCTTTACCGAGGGCTCTCAGGGTGGAAGGCTGACACAGGGCACGGCCTGGTGTTCCTGAGGAAGGTGCTGTAGGTTGCTGACCTCACGACCTCATCGGTCGTGAATTGAGTCTACTAACATTTTCTCAGGCCACAAGGAACTAATTGTCTCTAACTAGCCAGTTTTGTGCTGTTGYTGATTATTATTGTTTATATATTTGTAATATATATAATATTTTGTACAGTTATTTTTTATACTTCAAAATAACACAAAAACACAATTATTCCTAATAYTCTAGTTCTACATGTGGAAAGAATATTTACTGTTACCTAATTTCAGTTACTAACAAACTCCTCTGTCTAAAAGCCTCTCATAAAACATGCTATAATATTTTTCACTGATTTTTAAATTAGAATTACTTAATTAGATTTATATATTCAGTTTTCATAACTGATATCCTGTCAATGTAGCAGTATTTCTAATTATGCACTGATCACAACTGATTTCCAGAGGAAAAGACTAAATTTTCTGTCACAAAGTGTTATAGTACTTATCTTGCTTCTTTAAGATTAACATTTCTAAACGAACTAACGAACGATGAAAAACAATCAGAGCAGGAAGCAGCAAAAATGAAGTATCTAGTTCATACCAACACACCCTGTTTTGCATGTCAGTGTTGTAGTCATATGAGGAACATCGAATCATCAAACATTTACAGCCATAATTTTTTTTTTACAAAAATTTATAAAGAGAGACTAAAAAAGGCAAAAGCACAGCCATTAGCAACAAGATCAATTTTTGTAAGACATATTTGTAAGATATATTTACTACCATATTCACCTGTCTGCAAAACAACATACCTAATGAAGCTTAAAGAATCTGAAGTTTTTATTCGTACAAAACAAATTATTCAGCAAGTATTCAAAATTTATATGGCATTTCTATGTGAAAGCAATCAAACTAAATGAGCTGATTCAGGCTGTTCTAGGAAAAGCCATAGCTGAAAACCTGCATTTATAATCTTAAAAAGCTGCAGAACACACCACCAATCCAAGCATTAGCTCAATTAAAAAGGGGGAAAAAAATGAAATCCTTCCTCAGTTTAATAACTTGTTAGTTCTTGACAAGTGCAACAACACAACAATAAGCCAGTCAAAATGAGTTTTTAAAGCGAGGTTATGCCCTTCGTGTTGTGTTATCACAGTGGCAGATCAAACTGCTGACTTGGACTCTTTCTGCCAGCAGTGCTGATGCTGCCTCTATGAAGCTGCTGTCACACAATAGTCATGGTACCTGCTCTTGCCTATAGAAAAGCACTAAATTGAACTCGAAGTAGTGTCTTTGTGATATCTTTTCAACAAGTCATGTCCCATTCAGCCTGCTAGTTTATCTCTGTCAGGCTTGGGGCCCCAGTGGTTTGCATGAGCTGTCAGGGACAGGTATACCAACCTGCTCAGTGCTAAGGAGGTAATGCATCTTTCGGGCTTGGTAATGCTTCTCCTTCTCTTTCTTTTCTAGTTCTTTCCTTCTCTTTTCTTTCTCTTTCATTTCTGCGTATTCGTTCAGTTCTTTCCTGTAACAGAACAACAGAATAGCAATACAGTGCAGAAACCCTGATAAGGCTTTACTTGATTTTAACCCTCGTATAGCTTATTCTTCATGAAGTTCTGCTATTATTCATTAACAGTGGAGCAATATCAATAAAATGTTAAATCAAAGAACATTCAGTTCCACAGCAGCAGGATTCTACATGGATTCTACCTAAAAGAAAGAAGATTAAAATGGTAAATGCTATATTGTACGTGTATCCTTCAACAAACCATGTCTATCAATAGTGTATTAGTTTATATTATTTTGAATATTACATCAATCAATTTATGTTAATAGTTTCATGAAAGATTCATGCAGGCTGCCTTCTGTTTGTTTGTTTCAAGCATCATTTTGATTTTTTTATAAATAGAAGTGATTTTAATTTTGTAATTTTTCTTGAGTCTCAAAGTTGTTACGTTTTAGATAGCGCCTTATAACATTCCCTGATCTGTTAACACAGGAGACTCTAAAAAAAATGAGGACAGCAGACACTGGGTAAGATCTGACATTCATTGCTAAACCCTTGAGCTTTCTTGCACGAGTACGAATGCCCACAGAGGTAGGGAATGTAATTACTTTATGTAATATCCTTACAAGACGTTTGCATAGCCTTAAGTTTCTTGCACAGGTCACTGTCTATTGTGTTCTGATGGCAATAGTAYACCAAAACCAACTAGAGCAACACTACAGTCTAACTGTCCAACAAGCCAACATATGTTTAGTGCAGAGTGTCTTCTAAATAGATCTAAGAGATATCTAATAGATAGGTCTAGGTGTTTAATAGGTCTTAGATTTTTTTTTTTTTTCCRTGTAAAAGAAATAAGGAGATAGGGAACCATATCTAATATCAGCTTTGAAAGACTGGAGTAAACTCCTGGCTCTAAATACACGGCTAGAGGAAATTGCAAGACAAAACAGGCGTAGCCTTTTACCTCAATGGCSTTCTTCCACAGAGCCAGACTTGCCCAAAATTAAGCAAAAAGTGGTGTAAATTAACATTCTGTATAGAATATAATTCTGTGTTATTGTTCACCACTGCATGTGAATGGAATTTTTTCAACTTAGCAAAAAAGGTTAGTTTGATTAACATTGTTATTATTGTTATTAAGAAATGGCTAGAGCAAATTAACCTGTGTGCCAAAGACACCAAATATATTCAGTCAAGCATTTAGACTGCTTATAAGTTAATTAAGTGAATAAATCTAGACACTTTCGCACTTTTTTGAGCATGTGAGCATGTGATAAGATGTGATAAACGAAGAAAAACTCTATTCACCCATCTGGATAAATCAAATATTCCAACAAAATGGATAACTTAAGAGACCCACATTACCAATCTCACTGGTTTCAACAAGCRGCGAGAAAGACATTCTAGGACAAAGGTCAAATCCTGTCAAAATACGCATATGAATAAGTTCAGTGAYATGAATTATATAATGGGAAAGTCATATTGCTCCTAAAAGTGCTTCTAAGGTTGCTACTTAGCCTGTTGTTATTAATATCTTAACTAACATAATGTTAAACGAAATAATCAAAATACATGAAAGAGAAATACCATGAATATTGTGAACAACACTCTTAAAGGCAAGTTACCAAGTAGAATTTTTCTTTGTTTCATGCTATAATCTTTCAAGGTTTTTTATCAAGTGTTTATTAATTATGCAGGCCTCATTTCAAATGTAGAAGACAAAAAGAAGAAAAGGATATAAGTTAAGGATTGAAAGGATGTATAGATCTGTTTCAACCTTTGGAAACATTTTTTGTTGCAGTTTATTGTTAAAGGCTGCTAATACAATATTTCACACAAGGTTACTTATGAAGCACACTGACGTTTAAAAATCACCATGCTATGCTTTTGCAGCAGTGTAATTTTTTTCCAACATAAGATTAAATTGCAAAATAAATGAATTACTTAGAGTGGCATGGCCCCCATTTTGCCACCCTTCTCTTGAAAATTGCTTATTAATATGAAAAAAGAAGTTGGAAAATAGCCTGTTTTACTTTATGCATAGTGTTTGGGGGCCTCAAAGCCTGCAGAGCCGAACTAGCTGCACATTTTAGATTGTGTTGGCAGGCGGGAACGATGACCCTTCTGACCTGCATCTCAAGGCTATTATTAATCGCTAAGTAACCTGGTAAAGCCAAACAAATTTGTTTCCATTGAAAGGATCTCTATCTGTGTCTGAGAATTTGTGCTGTACCAAACAAACCTCATTAACTGTGTCCATTTTTGACAAAGAACTAGGAGTTGGAGAGATTGGCGACCTTTCTTTGTCCTTAAGGTGCAGATTTCAGAGTCACTGYATGTTGGTACGTAAGCATTTCAGTTGGAAACTCTTTGTTCTGTATCACTCAATCATAAAAAATAGAATAAATAGGAAGTGCATATAGTATCAACTTTATTTTTATTTTATTCCACTTTACCTTCAATATCAGAGCATATGATCTATGTTTTACATATTTAATGTTGCTACTTGCTGTTTTTCATTACAGAGTCATCTTTCTAGCCTCAGTATCACTATCTGGTAAACTGTCTATCAATATCTAACTACGGCTTCTTCATATTCTTATTTACTTCTTCCCAACAGAAGGCTTTGTTATTCAACATCTAACTGCAGATCCAAATTCTTAAAGAAAAATATTGCTAAAAATACAAACTTGTATTTCAGGTATAGTGATAACGGGATGCAAAATGTTTTCCATTTTGTCATTAATTTAAATTTATCAGGTTATTTTGAACAAAAGGTTAATTACCAATATTTGCTAAAATTAAATGAAGTTTAAAATAGCTGTTGAAATACCATGCAATTCATGATTTTCATGTAGTACTTCTGTCCAAACCATTCTGATTCTTTCCAGATTCTCACCCGTTTCTTCACTAATTCTGCAACATAGCCCATTCAAAAATTAGTTTTTTCTAAAGAGCTGCACATAATTTTCAATATATCTTTGCAGCCTACATATTTTGMTATCTTTTTAGCCAGTTATGCTAATATTATATGCTATTTCTTTCATGAATGATGGTATTCTAGACAGTTGTATAGAACACACAGACAAGTTTGTTTGGGAGCTGATGACTCCACAATGATTCTTCCATGGACAGCATCARAAGTATGTATTGCTGCACCGAGAAGTGTAGCTATTTTGCATTAATATAGACTTATTCTAAAGATACTTGAACATGAAACTTTCACATCTCTTTTACAATTCTTTAAGGGAGAATCCTTTTTAGCAGGAATAAAAGCAAGGTTTAAGTGATACAAAAGACATAAGTTTAGATTTCTGGATAGAATTAGACTTTAAGATTGTTTATCAAAATGTAACATTCATCAATAACTTTCACGTTCATGACTTTGTCCATGTCCGTCTGCCATAGAAAATAAAAMCAAAGTCCGCTAAATATAATTGAAAGTCCACTAAATTCAATGAGTTTGGGATTAAATTATTGTGCTTACTCCCAACTTCCTCATTGTTTTTATACATCTCATATTTGTTGAGCAGGAGCAAGTTGTGACAAGTGGGCYCCTTTCCCATCCTGACTGACTTCCTGTACAGAAAATGATTCCCACACTTACCCCACACCGCCACTCTCTGAGATGAAAATCTCTCAGAGAGATTTTCATAATTCTGCATAGAAATTGATAATTTTACAAATCCTTATTGACCTTCAACTATTGAACTTTTTCAAAATATTGCCTTTTCTGCATTTTCACTGGAATTTTGTGATATTGTGATCAAGGAACCATAAAATTATAACAATATTAAGTAGAGCAAAGTAATTGGAGAAAATTGTTAGGATAATTTGCCAGAAGACAAAGAAAAGTTACTGTGATTTTAAATAGTTCAGGCCCCAAATCATGAAATTCCTRCAACATAAGGAGATGATAACCTTAGCATAGAAGAAGATAACCTAAATCGATTTTACCTTCCTGACTATACATCATCGTCCCTGCTCAAACAGAGAATATGGAACTGAAAATTAAATCAGTGGCGCAATATTTTGGTACACCACTGCACACCACTTGACTTGATGTTACATTCATGTATGTGGGAATAGAACCTGTCGTGATAATATCATTTCTCTTTATCTATGTCATTTGAGTAAAAAAATAAATAAATATACCCATAGACTAGCCTAGGACATAAAAGTAGCTCAAGGAGCTCTGTGATTAAAGAGGCACCTTGATCATTCTGAATCTCTTTCTGATATTTTCAAACACACTGCACAGCACAGAGCACTCTGCTCCTCTGCTCCCCTCCWGCGTAGGGCACCCTCCCATTTAAGTGACATATCTGCAACTGCATATCCTTGCCCATCGAAAGCAGGGCTATGTTCATTCTTAAAGAATATTATTTGTTCTAAAATACATGCTCTATTCACAAGTATATTCGCAAGTAATGTATTGATAAGCATTGCTCTTTTATCTGAGAAACAAGGAAAGGATTCCATGACATATTTGCTCCAAATATAACTAAATATAAATAAAGTGATTCTGTTATAACTGCTTTGTTAGGTGCTACAATAGGTTTTAGCTRCTACAAAAAGAAAACATCTACTGTCCATAATTTATCTATAATTTAGGTATCAGTCAAAATTATTGCTCGTTATCTTGTCCTTCAGTGACAATATCCATAACATGATTTTATCTCAATATGTATTTTTGAAAACATAAAAGAAGCACCCAAATACCCATAATTCATAACATATGCACAGAAATGGAGTGGAAAAAATTAACCGTATTTTACAAAGGAATTTTATAATTGTCTTTTTTACAATGGAAAGGACAGAAAAAGGTATTCTGCTGACATGCAGATATGTCATCAGAGAAGTTAATTCTGAGAGCTGGGCTATGTGAGGAAACAGTTGTTTGAACAGGAATCAGAACCTTAATTTGGATCTTAAATATAATATTACATTCCAAGATGTGCTATGACTCTATGCTGAATAACTGATATTTTAGAATATTTCATAAGAGTATATGC